ATAGCTCTTCTAGAGCTCCATCAGTCTGTTTTTTATGCCTGCCTAAAATTGGCAGAAGAAAGGAGCCATAAATAGGCTAGCTCTCAGGCCATTGCATTAGTAGTTGCAGAGCTGATCCAGATTTCTGTTTCAATGATAGATCTGTGTGTGCATGTGTTCCTTTATTGGGAGAAATGTGGAATATAAGTGGCATTTTTAAAAAAGTTTACAAGAAATGCTTACGACTAGTTCGCAAGAATAATGAAACTGCACATTACTCTGAGAAACTCATGACTGATCAGCCAACTTAAAATAAGCAGTGAAGTACAGTGGGGTCTCTACTTAAGAACTTAATCCGTATTGGAAGGTGGTTCTCAAGTTGAAAAGTTCTTATGTTGAATCTGCATTTCCCATAGGAATGCACTGAAAACCATTTAATTCGTATCTGCTCTTTTCCGTCCATAGAAACTACAGTTTGAATACACAAATACAAGCTACAGCTTGAATACACAAAAAGTGCAGAATTGCACAATTAGGGTCTAAATAAGCTGATTGTATATTAGAGAAACCGTGATACTAAGTTACTATTTGCTGCAATCATCCTTTCCTTCATTTGTTATCACATGAAGATCTCAGTTGCTGTTTGAAAAAGAACTTAGAAGCATTTAAGAATATCTCACTCTTTATTACGTCTTCACTGGGTATTGATCCATTTCCAGAAACCATATAAAGTGCTGATTTTGACTTCTAAAGCTCACATGCCTGGTATCCAGGTTATGTGAAGGACCTCTTTATGAGTCTGCCAAGCTTTTAAGATCGTCAAGGGAAGCCTTTGCCCTCAGTCTCATATCTGGTGTGGAAACAAGAGAGAGACCTTTTGGTGGCTACTCACAGGCTGTGAAAGTCCCTTCCACAGAGAGCCACGCTGGCCCCCTCCTCTGATGTCCTTGATGCAAATTTTTAGTAAGTAACTTGCTGCCAAGGAAGAGGATTTCACTGGATAATAACTTTTCCTTTTTAAAATGTTATCTTCAATTGTGTCAAACTGTTTTTATTCAATAGTTTTAATACACATTTAAAAACCTATGACAGTTTCTTGCATTTTAAAACTACCGTATTTTTCGCACCATAAGACGCACTTCTCCATAAGACGCACCAAATTTTTAGGAGAAGAAAACAGGAAAAAAAATAATCTGTTTTCTTCTCCTAAAATGGGTGAGCCTTATGGAGAGGTCCATCTTATGGAACACACCCTAGGACCCTTTGGAGGTTCACCCAGCCCCTCGCCCTGGAGGCCAGAGGGGGCGAAATCGCCATCTTCTGAGACTCTTTTGAGGCTTGGGAAGCTTCAGAAGAGTCCCAGAAGGTGGCAATTTTGCCCCCTCTGACTCCCAGGGGGGCAGGTTGAGTCTTTAAAGGGTCCCAGGGTGTGTTCCAGGACCCTTTAGAGACTCACCCTGCCCCCCG